TGTGGGGATGTGTGTGTGTGGGGAGGGGAATGTGTGTGTGTGGGGGGGGGGGAATGTGTGTGTGGGGAGGGGGGGGGGAATGTGTGTGTGGGGAGGGAATGTGGGTGTGGGGAGGGGGAATGTGTGTGTGTGGGGAGATGTGTGTGGGGAGGGGGGGGGTGTGTGTGTGGGGAGGGGATGTGTGTGTGGGGAGAATGTGTGTGTGGGGAGGGGGGATGTGTGTGAGGGGGTAAATGTGTGTGGGTAAATGTGTAGAAATATGTATATGTATAAATGTGTATATGTATGAATATGTGTGTGTGTGTGTGTATGAATATGTATGTGTATGAATATGTGCGTGTGTATGTACAGTATATATGTATGTACGTACAAAGGAATGTATGAATATATATATATATATATATATATATATATATATATATATATATATATATATATATATATATATATATATATGTGTGTGTGTGTGTGTGTGTGTGTGTGTGTACATCATATATAGTTTCATCTGAGTGTATGTAAGGTAATATATTTTTATAAATTTACATAGCTGTTTGTTTATATACATTGCACTGTTTGTATTGTTAAGGTCTATTACACAGCAGCATTGGCAATACTGGGGCACTCTGTTTACATCTATGATACAGTAAACTTGGCAACACTGTTTACTTCATTTATTTCCTGTAAACAATAAATATTTTACCCAATAAATGTAGAGATAAAAGAACAATAACGGAGAGAGAGGGAGAGGAAGTTGTGACAAGGGAAGGTTGGTGAGAGAGATGATGGTGAGGTCGAGTATATGATGAAGGAGAGTATAGTGAGGGAGAGTATAGTGAGGTAAGGTATGGTGAGGGAGAGAATGATGAGTGAGACGGTAAGGATTCGTAAATTACTCACAAAAAATAGGTTCTTCTTCTGATAAATATTTACTATAATATAACCATTATTTATAGCGCTAATTATTATTGTTCATAAAGATACGACAAAAAGTTTTTCATAGTGGTCGAGGCTTTTAAGACTCGAAGATTAGACACCTCAGCTTATTTTACTTGCGTTAATTACCCTAACTTTAACCAAACCTAACATAACCTAACCTAACCTGACGATTAATACCTATAACTTTAACCAAACCTAACATAACCTAACCCAACCTGACGATTAATTACCTACACAACCTCAACCTGACTTTAACCTAACAACCTGGACGATTAGTTCCTACTTTACCTAACCTCACAACCTAAACTGAATTTAACACAACATAACCACCTAAACTAATTTAACCTAGCTCAATTTAATCTAACCTGGCAATATAACTTATGTCCTAATACCCTAACCTGCCTCAACATAACCTACCATAACAGGTGTTGGTGAAAGTATGGAACAAGGGAGTACAAATGAATCACCTTTTCATCATAAATAAATCAATAAATAAACATAAATATTAGGACTCATCTTACACAATATACTGCACTCACCTCAACCAAAACTCCTCCTTCTGCGTCTCCTACAGGTGTCGTGGATCCGTCACAGGGACCTACACGTTCTGACGGTGAGCTCCTTCACCTTCACCAACGACGAGAGGTTCTCAGCACACCGGGACCCTGCTACAGGTGACTGGGTGTTAGTCCTTCGTCGGCCACAACCTTCAGACTCCGGCTTCTACGAGTGTTCCATCTCCACCAAACCTGTGACAGCCATCAGTGTTAAACTCGATGTGGTTGGTGAGTACATGGTGGTATTTGTGTGTGTGTGTGTGTGTGTGTGTGGTTCTGTATCATACATAACCTCTGTAAGCTATTGTGTGTGAGTGTGTGTGTGTAGTTCTTGACCTTACATAAATGACCTCTGAGATTAATTTACATATTTTGTTATAAATATTTACATTTGTGATCAGAACATATTTTTTCCCCCTTGAATTTAATCAATGGAATACATTAATACATTTGTTTCATGAACGAGAAGAAATAATTTATACACCATTCAAATAGTTCACATCAATTGACTTCTCTTGAAAGGGCTTTTAAAAATATTGTAACTTTTCCCCGCTTATAAAAACTCAATAGCATTAAATCACTGCTCAATATCGTCATCTACTTTACATTAATATATCCAATGGACTCTTAAAACGTCTTACTGGCTCACATAATGACTTAAAACTCAATCTTTCGTTTTTTAATCAAAATACTGAAGTCAATTCTCTCAATAGATCGTATATAAATATTATTATACAGTAAAACCTCTATATAACGTACTTCTCTCCATATAATCCGTTAAATGGAGGGTTCACATACAATGGATATAACGGACTTTCATCTTTATATACTTCATTACCTGGAGGTTTTCAGCATATAACGTACCCTTAATATAACGGACTCTTTCTCTCCATATAGTCCGTTAAATGGAGGTTTTACTATATATCCCTTAATTAAGATGGTCTATATTATAGGGCTATATTATACATCTCACTGATGAGGCAACACTTGATATATTATGAGACAACAAAGGAGTTATGAGCTTGTGAGAATATACGTCGGGGCATCTGTTACGCTAATGAGCCTTGTGAGGTCATATACGAGAACCCGAGAGTGGGGGTGAGATCAGGACCAAGGTAATTAGTAGCAGGTGTAAGGACAAAGGTAATCATCAGGTGTAATGCAAAGATATAATCAACAACAGCATCAATCATCATCACCTACCCGTTCACTATTACAACAAAGACTCATCATATTACCGCCTCTCACAACACCCTCTCACGTCCAGGATTATTATAACACTTCATTTCCTGAGCGAGGGATGGTTGTGTGTGTGTGTGTGTGTGTGTGACGTATGAGTGACGTATAAGTGACGTGTGAGTGACATACCTTGGCTCCCACTGAGTCTTGTGTAGAGTGACAAGTGAAACGTGATGAAACAGCAGTGGTATACGAGGTTAGTGAGTGAAACATGTTTGTTTTGTCTTCTTCTTCTTCTTCTTCTTCTTCTTTTCTTTTCTTCTTTTCTACTTCTTATTTCCTTCTTCTCTTCAATTTTTTTCTTTTTCTTCTTCTCTTCATTTTTTTTTTTTTTTTTGTTTTGTGTGTCTTCTTCTTCTTCTTTCTTCTTCTTCTTCTTCTTCTTTTCTCCACTTCTTATTTCCTTCTTCTCTTCAATTCTTTCTTCTCTTCATTTTCTTCTTCTCTTCATTTTCTTCTTCTTCTTCTTTCATTCACTTCTTCTTCATCTCCTTCTCCTCTTTCTTCTTCTCCTACTCCTCCTTCGTCTTCACCTCCTCCTACCTCTCCAAAAACAAACACAGACAGACAGACAGACAGACAGACAGAAGGACAGACACACCAGATAGACAGAGAGACAGAGAAAGACAGACAGACAGACAGACACAGACAGACAGACACAGACAGACAGACAAGAACATTACCTGGATCACAATAATACACAATCTCCAGGTAAGGCAAAATAATATATTGGAAAGACAAAGGTGATATTTATGGCCTGACGGGACGAGACTGACACACGAACGGACAGACGAACGGACGAATAGATAGATAGATAGATAGACAGACAGACAGACAGACAGGCACAATCATCTTGCACCAACTCCAGACGAACAAATTTCTGCCTCCTTAACTTTTAAGTGATAAGTAATTCTTCTTTACCCCTGAGTCCAAAACTTGTGTATGTTATTATGTGAGTCAATAGTTGAGTGCGTGGTGAGTCAGAGGGTCAAGAATTAGCTGAGTCAATGTTTTAAGTGTTAGTCAATAATCACCTAACCTAATCTAACCTAACCTAACCTAACCTAACCTAACCTAACATAATTTAATCCAATATACGCTGGGTGTCTAATTTTCAGGTGATTCTCTTACTCTTCTTCCCTTTCCTTTCCTCCCTCCTCCCCTTTTCTTCACCTCTCTTCCCTTTCCTTTCTCCTCTCCTCCTTTCTTGCCCTCCTCCTCCTCTTCCCCTCCTCTCTTCCCTTCTCCCTCTCTTCTCCTCCAATACTTCAGGCTATCCTCTCCATTTCTATCCATTATTTATCCGTCTTGTTTTCCACCTCTACCCTCCCCCCCACCCTCTACCCTCCCCTTCTCTCACCTGCCCTCAAGGGAGTTTGTGTCTAGGTACTCGATAGACCGCAACCCTCAGGAGACCCGCTGGGCTGAGGGCTGATGAGGAGCTTGAGTGGTGGAGAGCTGCTGAGGGAGGAGTGATGAGAGGTGGAGATGACTAAGTGGGTGGAGGTGGTACTAGAGAGGGTGGAGGTGTACTTGAGAGGGTGGAGGATGACTAGGGTGGGTGGAGGTGGTACTTGAGAGGGTGGAGGTGTACTTGAGAGGGTGGAAGTGTACTAGAGAGGGTGGAGGTGGTACTAGAGAGGGTGGAAGCAGTTCTAGAGAGGGTGGAGGTGTACTTGGGAAGACGACTCACCCACTCAGGAAGACAGTTGAGGCGGAAGGAGTCAACTGAGTGGTGATCAAAGGCGAGTTAACTACACGATGAACTAGTGAAGAGGAAAGGGTGATCGGCAGAAGTGAGTTTGGAGGAGAAACAGGGGATTAAACTGTTATTTGATTTAGACGTGGTTTGGAGGAGGGAGGAGGAGAAACGAGGATGAAAGGAAGGAGGAAGAGGAGGAAGTAAAGGAGGTGGCAGAAGAGGAGGAGTGGGAGGAGGGGAGAAAAGGAGAGGGAGGCCAAGGAAAGCAAAAGGTAGGGTAGGTTAGGTCAGGGTCACACAGGCGTGATAGATGACCTCCCTCCACCATATCACCCTAGATGCCCCCATTGTTTACCCTGATCTAGTGTTATCATTCATCCTGTTTAACGATAGTTCCCTACTTCTATAACTAATGACTGTAGTTTGACCCTAAATTAACTAACTGGTGAGTGTGTTTGTCCGTTTGTTTATTTGACTGTGTGAGTGTGTTTGTGTCGGTGTGAAAATAAACATTCACTTTGTATAGCTGTTTAGAGAGACTTATATCACATTCTACTGTTGACATTCTCTAGAGGGTCAATCTCTCTATTTCTTCTCTCTAAAAACATCTCTGTCTCTCTCTCTCTTGTCTCTGTCTCTTAGCCTTTACAAAAATCTCTCAGTAGTCTCACGAGTCTCATAAATTCTCCAGAGACTTTCGTGTTACTTTAAGAATCCTCATGATGCCTCCAAAATGGGTCTTGGTAATCCCAGAGGCTTATATTACTAAGAGAGATATGAGTATTATATCTTTTTTTGTTCAGGACCTTCCGGGAACTCCTAGTACTTGAGGCGGGAAGCTATATATTACCGGGGACACGTCATAACCTCAGGGTATTATTGGTTTATTTTGACTTATTTTAGAAATTTAATACGTGTGGGTGATAAGAGGCCCAGGGTGAATTCTATACCCCCCCCCCCTCCCGAGGTTACTAGATACTAAGGCCAACCTCCAGGAGCCAGTGAGGTCTTTGGAACCAACCTCCAAGGGGCCAGGAAGACCTCCACCAACAGCCCGCACGGTCAGAGGCACCCCACCAACCTCCTCCACAGGCGGTAGCGAGGAGGCCCAGCGTGATGGTCGCCGTGATGTGAATTTCAAGCAATGTTTTCCTCCCTCCTTCACCTCCAACTTTTACCGAGGTGTTTAAGAGGATCATGAGTGTGTGTGTGTGTGTGTGTGTGTGTGTGTGTGTGTGTTGTCATTAATGGGGTATATCTGTCTGTATATCACAACAAAATAAATAAAAACACCTCTACTATTTCAGTGAACAACATGAAGTTCCTTGTACCCAGAGTCAGGGAGACCAAACAGAACAGATGTAGTCACGGTTTTCACTTTCAGTATAATCCTTCAGGTGTCAGTACTCATCGACCACAGCTGGGAACACACACTTGTTTCTTACAGTGTACACGGTGGATTACGTACACGTCTATGAATACACAACACCATCAATGCACAACTGGCAATATAGCCGATAGTGTGACGTCATCTGCCACCTCCACTTTTTACACATACTAACCTAACCTAACCTAACCTAACCTGCGTGTGTCTGTATGTTATGTCTGTGCGTTCTATCATATTAAGATTACAGTAATCCTCATACTAATGCTCTGTTCTCACTTCACAACCCATTACAACTTACAGCAGAGTGTCAATAGCTAAAGCGGATTACTACACTACATTAACACTAATACTTAACCTATTAAAACACATCACAAGGCGTCATCTCTCTCTCTCTCTCTCTCTCTTCTCTCTCTCTCTGAAATTCCTCGTAAGCGACCCTATAACTATTTAACCATCTTAACTTAAAACATTATCTTAAGTCCATCAACTTATCATTAAACTTAGACAAAATAGTATATAAACTTCGGGTTATAGATAGTTAAAAAAAAAGTTGTGTTGTTAGTTTATAAAGAAGTATATTGGGAATTTTACAACACGTCGAGTGATGGAGATTTTTAAAAATGATGCTGAATTATTTATCTCGTGTCCGCAATTTTAATTCAGGTTTATGGGGCTGCTGCAAAAGTTATGTCTTTTTTTTAATATTTAAACTTTGCGCATAACAATTAGGTAAAACTTAGCCACCCACCAGCTCCACGGCCTCAAGCACACACACACACACACACAAGCACGGCGGCACCATTCTTCTTGATGGAATGTAAACACGATATAGTCAGGAAGGCAGGGAGAAGCATCGGTAAAGACTAAGGAATATATTTCTGGGGGTGTAAGGCGAACCTAACCTAACTTAACTTAACCTAACCTAACCTAACCTTCCTAACCTAACTTAACCTAACCTAACCCACCACCAGGTAACCCTTAAGCAGGCTATTCAATGCATAGTCTATAGGTCATATAGACAGTGCGTATAGGTTAATGTTATCGACCCTGACTTAGTAACCACTATAGTGAAGGTTAATGTTATGTACCAATGTGTGTGTGTGTGTGTGTGTGTGTGTGTGTGTGTGTGTGTGTGTGTGTACAATAACAGTTTTACCATAACCACTACTATCACCACTCACCTTTAACACCAAATAACTCCAGTACCTTCCCCCTCACTTGCCTCACCTCCCCTCACTCACTTCACCTTCCCTCACTCACTTCATCTTCCCTCACTCACTTCACCTCCCCTCAATCACTTCACCTCCCCTCGCTTGCCTCACCTCCCCTCACTTTACCGCTACATTAATAAGATTATTTCTGATTGGATATTGGACACAAATTTCAGTGCTTGGGCAAAGTTGCTGTTGGGAATCAAAGGCAAAATCTATTACACACACACACACACACACACACACACACACACACACACACACACACACACACACTAGTTATAAAAAGTCTTCCATCAAATACCAAGTCTCTCTCTCTCTCTCTCTCTACCAACTTTAACTTCAAGGTATATCCTGTACACGAGAACACACTTGTATAATCCCTTACTCCAGCTAAACGATCCAATATGGCGTTTCAACCACTACATATTGGGAAGTAGTGAAGTATTAAGTGGTTAAAATATAGCTACATTTATCAGGTGTTTACGATCACTGACGCTCAGGTAAATTATTATCGTTCAAGGGTGGAGTCTGATTACATTACCTTCATAACTCAGGTGTTGTGGCCAGGTGTATTAGTGAAAATACTTATATTATTACTGCTATTATGAAGGAAATTATTATCTTATTACTACTACTACGACTACTACGACTACTACTACTACTACTACGACTACTACTACGACTACTACTACTACTACTAAACAACTTATCTATCCATTTATCTGCTTTAACACACACACACACACATCCTCCACCAACACACCACACCACCACCCCACTCTCCTCCCTCCCCCACCACTCCCCCACCCCATTTCACACCCCCACACACACCATCCTCCCCCGTGTTCTCAGTTCCACAATCTCACTCATAATACTGTATATAATTAGAAGGTAAATCTCATCTTAGCTATTACGATCACACCATTACGAGCCAGAGGTCGTTAAGGCTACTGACACCCAAGTTAATACTTTTTCTCTGCCTTCCTCTTGCCCTAAACTTTGAGAAAATACCAATAACTTTTTTTTCATTTTAAGTTTAATAATTTGAGTTGGTGAGGTTTTTTTTTGCTGTTTATTTTTTAATTATTATTTTTTCCATATAAATTAATGGAGTCAAAATGATCTATGTATTTGTTATGTTGTTATTGTACTTTAAGGGGATTTTTTTCCTGTTGCTTATTTCACCTGGTGATTAATAATTAAGAAGCTATGAGTGTTAGGTTAGGTTAGGTTTGTTTGTGGGGGAGTGTGCGTGTTTGTGTATGAGAGAAGTGTTTGTGGGGGTGTGCGTATATTTATGTGTGCGTAAGTATGTGTATATATATGTATGTATGTATGTATGTATGAATGTATGTCTATTTATATATATGTGTGTGTTTGAGGGTATGTGTGTGTGTGTGTGTGTGTGTGTGTGTTTGAGGGTATGTGTGTATATGCGTGTAGTGGAATGTATGAGGCGTGTGCATATGTCTGTAGGTCGTTCTTACACGGACAAAAAATAAATCATTATAAAACAGTATGAGGAACCTAGCCACCGCGACCCAAGACTTGTGTCCACGGGTTCTCAAGACACACTGGAGCTGATGTGTAATTAAGTGAAGCGGCTCACGACCTACACTGAGTCAGTCTTCACGATTATGCTGTTTAAAACTTATAATACCAAGACGAGGCTTGTGATGTGGCCTGTTTGAGGACACGACCAAGGGATCTTTTTACCTGCATAATAGTTTACCTTGTTGAGTTTACCTTATTTTTTTTGTTTACGGGGAATAGCCCTAAGCACCATAGGGGTGATAAAATAAGAGTAAAATGAAATTGAAAATAGAAAAGAAAAGGATTATATTAATTCACACCACGAAGATGCCGGAAAACCAGCTTTATGGAGTGAGAAATTGTATAAGTATGGAAACACAGAAGAAGGCAGAGCATTCCACAGTTTGGCTGTGTGAGGAAAGAAGGATGTACTGTAACGGGTTATTCTCGTATGACCGACACCGCGGACAAGACGTGTGTTACGAGCCCACGGCCTTGCCGACGGTACACAGGATGCCAAACCCACCGAACATTGCCCGATAAAGTCCCTGTAAAAGAGAGAGTGAAGCAACATTGCGGCGAAGAGAAAGGGAAGAAAGGTTATGAACTAAAGGAGGAGAGTTAATAAAACGAAATGCCTTTGATTCCACCCTATCTAACAGAAGAAGAGCCACCCCAGATATGAGAGTAACACTCCAAGTTAGGACGAATGAATCCCTTATATACTTGAAGCAACTGCTCAGGAGTGGAGTAGCTACAGCATCTGTACAGCATTCGGGAGGCAGCTTTAGCAATGTTGAGGATGTGTGGCTTCCATGACATATTAGAGGAAATGGTGAATTTAGCTGATTGAGTTTATCTTGATTACAGTTTACCTGGATGATAGTTTACCTGTATGATAGTTTACCTGTATGATAGTGTACGTGGATGATAGTTTACGTGGATGATAGTTTACCTGTATGATAGTTTACCTGGATGATAGTTTACCTGGATGATAGTTTACCTGGATGATAGTTTACCTGGATGATAGTTTACCTGTATGATAGTTTACCTGAATGTCAGTTTACCTGTATGATAGTTTACCTGAATGTCAGTTTTCCTGGATGACCACCCAAACAACACTACCGATGACTGTGACAATAATCCCTGAATGGTCCAACATATTAAAAATATAATAAATCCTAACCTAACCTAATCAGCTGGATACGTGCACTAATGGCCAGTTAGAGACATTGACAACATTATTGAAAATCTCCTCCAATGTTGCGTCCCGACAAGGCCACAGAATTTAGTACAAAGGAAAGGAAATTACTTGTCGGAAACCAAAACAATAGAGTGATGGATGGTGGACAGTAGCCAGGGAGGTCTGCGTCAGTGTTTCTCGTCACCACCTGTTCCTCCTCCAGCAGTGTTGTGTTGTGTTGTGTTTGTACAGGGTGAAGTTGTTCCGTTTCGTTGCTTGTAGCGCCACACCACACATCACACACCACCACAACACAGACACCACACATCACTCACCACCACAACACAGACACCACACATCACCACCACCACAACACCAACATCACCACACACCACCACAACACCAACACGACACATCACCCACCACCACAACACCACATCACCACACACCACCACAACACCAACACCACACATCACCCACCACACAAGACCCCTGGTGTGGCGTCCTTCAGGGTGACAGCTCTCCACCGCTACTGTTTGGGGTAAGAAATATGAAAGATAAGAGCTGGATAAAGGGATTAATTAGTCCCTTGCCTTCCCTTAACTCCTTGCCCTTTCTCCGACCATTCATTGCCCATTATCCAACCCCTCGTTGCCCTTCTGTGAACCCTCCTTGCCCATTCCTTACCTTTTCTCCTACTACAGTATTTCTTGCTCTTCCCCCTACTTCATCCTTAGATAACCCCCCCATCCCTCCTACATGGGTAACTGGAGGATGTGAATGGAAAAAGAGAGAAAAGGTTAAGTATTTCTTCTCACCTCCTCCTCCTCACCACCGTAATTCTAAGTCACTCTTTACTGGTGAAAGAGACCAACTATAAGTCTCTGGTGTTGGTGATCTTGGTGACGCTGAGAGGGAGAGAAAAGGTTCTTCTAACTCAGATAATTAAACCATTTTTTCCCCTCCCACAGGACGAGTAAAAGTTGGCTCCGGGTACTTTTGAAGTTGTGAATCTAATTAGCATATTATTTAAGGCAAAACTAGCGTGAAATTATCTGTGGGAAAAAAGTTAATGAAAAAAAAATTGAGAAAAAAATATTGTATTGAAAGTATTTATAGATGGATATTATTTTATATATTATTTAATTGTGTTTAATGATAGAAAAACCAAAGAGACAGGTGTGTATAAGCAAGGTCAGGTGTAAGCCGTATTCTTATATATACTAGGTGACAGGTGTGTATAAGCAAGGTCAGGTGTAAGCCGTATTCTTATATATACTGGGTGACAGGTATGTTTAAACAAAGACAGGTGTGGGTTTATTCTTATATGTATTAGGTAACAAGTGTGTTTAAACAAGGACAGGTGTAAGCATAGGTGACAGGTGTGTTTAAATAAGGACAGGTGCAAACATTATTCTTATATATACTAGGTGACAGGTGTGTTTAAACAAGGGCAGGTGTGGGTTTATTCTTATATGACAGGTGTATATAAGCAGGTGTGGTCTGTTTCCTCCCTACAGTCCCGACGGCGGAGTTGTTGGGTGATGGAGGCGGGGTCTACCTGGATCGTGGGAGCACCTTGAATCTCACCTGTGTCGTCCACTTCAGTCCCACGCCACCTGAGTTCATTCTCTGGTACCACCGTGAAAAGGTATGATACTCTCTCTCTCTCTCTCTCTCTCTCTCTCTCTCTCTCTCTCTCTCTCTCTTCTACAACTGTTAGTATTCTCTAGTGTTATGTGGTACTTATGTTTTTCTAGAGTGGTGTGTGTGTGTGTGTGTGTGTGTGTGTGTGTGTGTGTGTGTGTGTGTGTGTGTGTGTGTGTGTGTGTCCCTAAGCCATCGTCCTCAAAGGTCCTCATTATGTCAAGAGAAGATTCAATGAACACACACACACACACACACACACACACACACACACACACACACACACACACACACACACACACACCACACACACAAGTTAGACAGAATAAACGGCCGGCTAAGATATAATACAGAGGGAAAAGGAAGGTCGTCTTTTGATATCGAGCACAGGAGGTCGTATTGATGACAGGAGGATTAGATTAGGTTTGGGTTAGATGGTGGGTGTGGGTTGTGGGTGGGTTGTTGTGGTTGTGGTTGGGTTGGGGTGGGTTGGGTTGTTGGTTGGGTTGGGTTGGGTTGGTTGGTTGGGTGGGTTGGTTGGGTTGGGGTTGGGTTGGGGGGTTGGGTTGTGTTGGGTTGGGTGGTTGGTGGTTGGTGGTGGTTGTTGTTGGGGTTGGGTTGGGTTGGGTTGGACTGGGTTGGGTTGGGTTGGGTTGGGTTGGGGTGGACTGGGTTGGGTTGGGTTGGGTTGGGTTGGGTTGGGTTGGGTTGGGGTTGGGTTGGGTTGGGATGGGTTGGGGTGGGTCTCAGCTTCACACACACACCGTAAGAATGTTGTGGCCTCAGCCCTTACTGCCACCTGATGACCCATGGGATGTACTACGGGGTGGGGGGTTAGCTAGGGTAAAGTTAAGAAGGGAGCTAGGAATAAAGAGCAGGGAGGAGGACAGGAGCTGGGGGAGAAAAGGGAAGGAGGTGCGGAGGGAGAGCAAAAGATGAGGGGGAGAGGGAGGTAGGAAGGGAGAGAAAGGGTGAGGAAGATTGATGGCCACAAAAGAGTGTGACCAGGCGGAGGTGGGGAGAAAAGACGTGATGTTGGGGAGAAAAGACGTGATGTTAGGGAAGAAAAGACGTGATGTTAGGGGAGAAAAGACGTGATGTTGGGGAGAAAAGACGTGATGTTAGGGAAGAAAAGACGTGATGTTGGGGAGAAATGGGAAGGAATGGTTAAGAAGACTGGGAAATGGTTCAAGAGGGATGGGAAATAATTAGAAGGGATAGAGAATAATTAGAAGGGATAGGGAATCATTAGCAAGGATGGGGATAAATTAGGAGGGATGGGGATGGAGCTAATCTTCAAATAATCCCCCCAAATAAATAATCCATGGAGCCACCAAACACTAATTATTACACGTGAACAGAATCATCTAACATCACGACTGGACCACAAGAGGAGGAGTTAAAATATCCAATTACTGTGAGGGAGAGAGACAGGCGCTGGAGACGACATTATGTAATAAAAATTTCTCTCTTTCCTTTCTCCACATCTCGGACACTGGTGACGCAAAACGGCTTATCAACCTCATTTTATGCAAATTGATTCAACTCATGATTCTTAGGGTTATACCTGGCAGATCCCCAGCAGCGAGTTATGGCTAGGGTAGGGAGGGAAGGAGTGTGTGTGTGTGTGTGTGTGAGAGAGAGAGATTTGGTGCTTGACATTACTGAAAGAAGGAAGTAATTAGAAGAGGGTGTGTGTGTGTGTGTGTGTGTGTGTGTGTGTGTGTGTGTGTGTGTGTGTGTGTGTGTGTGTGTGTGTGTGTGTGTGTTGTGAGGTCAGGGTCATAGAGGTCAGGGTCAGTACAGTCCAATGCCAAACCTTTGACATTTGACAAGAATTGTTAAAAAACTGTGCAAGAGTGCTGTGATGATGACTGGCATTCAAACATGAGTATTGAGATGGAAAAATTTGGTTAGGTTAGGTTTGGTTAGGTAAGGTAGGCACGTCAGCCTCTGCTAACGGTTGTGTAATATTTCAATGTGATTCTGATCTTTTAAAATGTTGTTTTGCATAATGTACTATTACTGATATGTAATTTGTCTTAGTATGTCTTATTGTGGGTAAAAATAAGTTTATATTAAATGCATCCTCCGAAAGCGTGAATTTGCTATCCGAGTTTATCAGTTAATTCACGTATAATACTTCTGATAAACTTCCTACGTGTTCCTGTTTGAAATAATGAAGATATCTGTCTTTATATAATTTAGCTAAATATCTTTCTCGTCAGAAACGGTCATCCCAACGATTATGAATAAACTCATTTAGAAATACATCATTACTTCAGGACAAAATCGGACAGGTTTGCAACCGCCAACCAGCTGTAACTCTTGAGGGGGGGGAGCATTTTTTCTCAGCTGAGGAAAAACGCGCTATAGCCACCCACAGCCACCCACAGCCACCCACCAGCCAACTCACCGACAACTGCTAACCCACAGCCACCCACAGCCACCTACTAGCCACCCACAGCCTACTCACCCACAGCCACCCACTGACTATTAATACTTAGTCATCTGAGTGAAATTCTGTGAAATGAAGTGAATATTTTTTCATACCTCCAGGGCTATTGATTGCAAGTGCAGCGTTCCACATACTGCCTGTCCGCTCGTCTGTCTGTCTGTCTGTCTGTCTGTCTGTCTGTCTGTCTGTCTGTCTGTCTGTTTGTCCGTCTGTTCGTCCAGCTGTTTGACTCTCCCTTTCTGTTTGTTCTTCCATCTGTCTGTCTGTCTGTCAATCTGCCTGTCTGTCTATCTGTGTTCGTCCATCTGTCTGTGTGTGTCTGTCTATCGAGTGTCTCACCTTTAAAACTAATTACTAGGTAATCGCATTGTATGGATCTGAACTTAAATATACCTGTCTGCTAGAACACCTGATCATTAAAACACCTGAACACTAACACACCTGAACACTAAAACACCTGAACACTAAAACACCTGAACACTAAAACACTTGAACACTAAAACACCTGAACACTAAAACACCTGAACACTGAAACACCTGAACACTAAAACACCTGAACACTAAAACACCTGAACACTAAAACACCTGAACACTAAAACACCTGAACACTAAAACACCTGAACACTAAAACACCTGAACACTAAAACACCTGAACACTAAAACACCTGAACACTAACACACCTGAACACTAAAACACCTGAACACTAAAACACCTGAACACTGAAACACCTGATCATTAAAACACCTGATCAGAATAAAAACAACAACAACAACAATCTCATTACTCATTAACATTAAAACTAACAAAAAATAATTAAAACAAACAGAAAAACGAAGAAAAAAATGAAAAAAAAATATTCCCCAAAACATAAAAAAATAAAAATATAAAAAAAAATATTAAAATTCATTAGACTTTTATGAGAGATGTTGTGTAAAACCAAGGCCAGCCAACTACACCTTTCATCCCATTTACGTCCAATTGGGTTTGAATACCTACGATAATTTGCCATAAATGTCATTAAGGGTGATTATGGCGGACTAATGATTGGGATCAGCCAGGAACTTCCCCGTCGAGTACAAAGGTTGATGACAGGTGATGGTGGGTGAGGTGATAGTGGTGGTGATAGATGGTGGTAGTGGTGGTGTGTGAGGTGATAGTGGTGGTGATAGATGGTGGTAGTGGTGGTGTGTGAGGTGATAGTGGTGGTGATAGATGGTGGTAGTGGTGGTGTGTGAGGTGATAGTTGTGGTGATAGATGGTGGTAGTGGTGGTGTGTGAGGTGATAGTTGTGGTGATAGATGGTGGTAGTGGTGGTGTGTGAGGTGATAGTGGTGGTGATAGATGGTGGTAGTGGTGGTGGGTGAGGTGATAGTGGTGGTGATAGATGGTGGTAATGGTGGTGTGTGAGGTGATAGTTGTAGTGGTAGTGGTGGTAATGGTGGTGAGGTGATATTTTCGTTAAATAAATTTCTCTCCATGAACTTCTTCTTCCATATATTTCGTTACATGAATCAAGTTCCTCCGCATCATTTCGTTATAAGAATTTTTACGTTCGATATAATTTGTAAAATGAATTTATTCGTTACATATCTTTCACCATTACGAGAGCAGATGTTAGTTACCACACACAAAGGTAAAGTTAAATAATAGAGATGCTACACTACACCCCACACAGCGAACACCCCACACAGCGAACACCCCACACAGCGAACACCCACTGACAGACACCCACTGACAGACACACACAGCGAACACCCACACGGTGAACACCCACAGCAGACACCACTGCAGCGAACGCCCCACAGCAGACACCCACAGCAGACACCCCCACTGGCGACACCCACACAGTGAACACCCCACCTGGCAAACACCACGACGAACACCCCCACACAGTAGACACCCACACACCTGGCTTGAACACCCACAGTGAACACCCACCTGGCAAGAAAACACCACCGACAGACACCCCACAGTGAACACCCACACAACAAGACACCCCCACACAGTGAACACCCACAGCAGACACCCCACACAGCAAGACACCCCACGGCAGACACACACACAGCAGAACACCCCACTGGCAAGACACCCACACAGCGAACACCCCACGGTGAACACCCCACACAGAAACACCAGCAAGACACCCCTAGCAGAGCACCCTGCAGCGGGCACACCCACACAGCGAACACCCCACACAGCAGGGGCACACCCCAACGAACACACCACACAGCGAGCACCCCCACACAGCGAACACCCCACACAGCGAACACCCCACACAGCGAACACCCCACACAGCGAACACACCACACAGCGAACACAGTTGTTATTGTGGGGAAACAGCTGTAAGACCTTGATTTAACACACGTGTTTCATCTGGTCCCGAGGCTTCCCCTGGTCACTATGCAAAGCTTCTTGTAATTGTCTGCAACTGTGTGTGTGTGTGTGTGTGTATGTGTGTGTGTGTGCGGTCCCCAGTATTGACCACTCGGGTGTCAGGAGATTGTCTAATGTATATTTATATTCAGAACGTTGGGGATATATAGGTCACGTACACACACACACACACACACACACACACACACGTACACGAGTCTATTTTTCATTATCTGACACCATGTACATATTTTTTTGCTGTACGTAATTTGGACCACGCTGTACATATGATAAAATGTACACAAAAACAAGTTTATGGTGATGTGGTATAATGTAGTATTATGTACAAGAGACAAGAATGGTATTATGGTGGTAGATTATGAGGTAAGAATGGTATTGTGATGGTAGATTATGAGGTAAGAATGGTTAAGTGATGTTTTAAATTTATCTATTTTATTATCAGCTAACTTTATTTCACACTATGCAATACTTCCACTTTCTCTGACCCAACACACACCCCTTCCACTTTCTCTGACACTTTCCCAGAACACAACACACAACTCTTCCACTTTTTCTGACGCACCACACACCCCTTCCACTTTCTCTTCCACTTTTACTGACCCATTTTCCTCAGCCCTCCACCTTGTTTTCTCAGCGTCTCATATTTCCCCATTTTCTCTTCCTCTTGTCTTGTTTTCCTCTCGTTTTCCTCCTCTTTTTTCCTCCCTCACTTTATATATATATCTTTACTGAGGCAGCTCTCATCCTTGTGTTCCTGTTTGCTTCTTATACCTCACATAGATAGACAGACAGACAGACAGACAGACAGACAGATAGATAAATAGATAGATCGTAAAATTATCACGCAAGAATACAACAGCAAACATTAAATCGATTTGACCACACACACACACACACACACACACACACCTGCCAGAAGTACCTACTCATTTACATACTCTTCCAACATGTTACCAGCCGCTTCGTGAATCAACATTGGAACCATTTGTATTCATAGGAGAGCCGCGCCACACCAACCACTATATTCACACTTCGTTGCCGACCAATCATTACCTTCTAGTCACCATAACCTTCACCATCACTATCATGTCAGGCATCATCACTATCATTATTGTCACATACATCATCACAATCATCATCACCTTCACCATCACGTTAGCCATCATTACCATCACTATCACTATTGCCACTGCCACCATCACTATCACTATCACGTCAAATCATCATCATCAATCATCACTAATGTCACTACCACGATCATCCTTGTTTAGTCAATCACCATTGTCACCACCACCACCATTACTACCATCACCACCATCCCTATCACCATCACTACAACCACTACCACCACAACTACCATAATAACAACCCATCACCATAACTCCGAAACTACAATACTTCCCCTCCCCCATTACCACCATCACCATCAACACCTCACTATCTCTCACCACCATCAACACCTCACTATCTCTCAACAATGTCTCTCTATCTCTCTGGTATCTACAGCTGGTGAACTACGGCTCAAGAGACGGACGAGAGATCAAGGTTGACACAGTACACTTGGGAGACACGACTCATTCCTCCCTGCTGGTACACAACGCCACCGTCTGGGACTCCGGCAAGTACTCCTGCAAGCCATCCAACGCTAACAAGATCTCTATCGGCGTCCACGTGTTGAAGAGTAAGATGACGTAGTTTGGTGGGGGTCTCTCTCTCTCTCTCTCTCTCTCTCTCTCTCTCTCTCTCTCTCTCTCTCTCTCTATCTGCTTCTATCGGTCTCTCTCTCTTTCTCTCTTTCTATCTGCGTCTATCTGTCTGTAAATGCTCTGTATATTAATAGTTATAAAGATATATAAGAAAGAAAATAGAGAATAAACAACGAAACAACTGGATAAACACACACACACACACACACACACACACACACACACACACACACACCCACACACACCCACACACACACACACACCATTAACCCTCTAACACTGGATCACAATTACGCCTCACAAAGCACAACTATCTATTGTTATCTTGTTATCCATTGTGATGATCACCTCAAGAGATAACAGGTAAGTGAATAACATCCTCTGTATCTCTCTCTGTATCTCTATTGTCTCTCTATTGTCTCTCCCCCACAGGTGAGACCCCCGCAGCCATGCAGACGACCACCAGCAGCGCTCCACCAGCAACAGCCACCCACCTCCTCTCACCCGTCTTCGTCACCACCTTCTGCACCTTGACCGCCGTCGCTCACACTCCTAACGTCGCCGCCTCTTTACTCTTCTTCCTCTCCTCGTGCCTCTTGCTCCCCTTCTTCACCCTCTTCACCAACAGATAAGGAACAGGCCTCGAACAAGTTGTCTAGGGTCATACACGACACGATCTGGTATGGGGTTTTTTTTCATCTTTTTTTAGCACTCGGGAGATGATGGACTGCAAGCGTGGGTGGTTGTGGAGGTAGAACTAGCCACCCATAGCCAAAATAGCCAAAACACGCCATCATGAGTGCTATTAGCTAGCCATATATCCCGCTAGTAGAGAGTCGTGAGAGGCGGGAGTGGTTTTGAGTCTGGTAAAACTTTTTAAGACAGCCTCAAAAATATTGCTGTTGTAAATATGTATAACTTAAGTTTTCAGTAACTGTCTCGGTGTAGAGTCAGTCAGTCAGTCAGTCAGTCAGTACACGAGGACACGGTCTGGTTGACAGTGTTCATCTTTAAACCTTATATCATTAACTTCTTTCACTGTCAATATGTCACTGTTATGTTGGTCAATATGTCACTGTTATGTTGGTCAATATGTCACTGTTATGTTGGTCAATATGTCACCGTATGTTGGTCAGTTATCACCATACGAGATGTTATGACCTCTTTATACCCCTCCTGGACACACGAGCTATACGTCTGTCTGTTATTGATTGATTTAACGCTTCTACCTGGACGGCTCACCTGGCAGAGGACTGAAGGTATAACACAAGACGAGTTAATTAAGTCTAAACATCTAGCTCACCTTCTGCGCCTGCACCAAATGTTTACAAATCATATGTAGAGGTAAGGGTGCAACTTAGACTGGTCTATGAAGGTTCAAAACAAAATCTAACTATTCTGACCTAACCTGACCTAGCCTAACCAACCTAACCTAATCCAACCCAACTTAACCTAACCTAATCACTAGTCTTGTGTTATTGTCTTAGTCTACAGGTGAGCCGCTGGGAAGGTTAATTAGGTGGTGGTGGTCCAGGTATATAGCAGTTCATCTGTCCTTTACGTCTTCCAGATCTGTCTGTCTGTGTGTCTGTGTGTCTTTTCTATCTATCTATCTATCTATCTATCTATCTACAGCTCTATTTATCTACCTACCTACCTGCCGACCTACCTCTCTCTCTCTCTCTCTCTCTCTCTCTCAACCCAAGACTCATAAACCTACACATATGCTCACTAAACACAAGTACGGAGTTATATTGTGTAATCTTACAGTCTGGGATGTGTGTGTGAGGTGAAAGGAGCTATCAAGGTTCCTGTGGCAGCATTATATAACTACAACAACTGTAAAACATTTGTATATATTTTTTGTACATGTTGTATGTGATGATCGCCAGAAGAGAGACGCCTGTGGCTGGTAGCTTGACTTAGTTCATTATGGATAATCTTCTTGTGGATATATCTGTAGTATTCAGTACTTCAAAATTGTATTATTATTGTTTTTTATTTATGAGTCCTGTTGGGAGGTACACACACCTGTTGAGATGGTACACATACCTGGTGGGGTGGCACAGACACCTGCTGGGATGGTCCACACACCTGCTGCTATGGTCCACACACTTGATCGCCTCCTGGGGAAGTAAACACACATTGTTAAAACTATGAAAAAAAAGAATTAAGTAAGAAAAATGTAGAACATGTACATATCTGAACAGCATACTGTACAACACCAAGAGTTACGGGAGACAAGAACAAGTATTATCATGACAGGGAACTTACATAGTAATCCAGTTATTTTCTTAAGGTAAGCTTGACAGCGACACGAACTTACAACACAACCTCCCACTGTTCACATGCTGGGCTACGAACCTAAATCTTTCTCGTCACTAACCCACACACACCTCACAACAACTCTCTCTACTTAATACAAAAGATAACTTATGTAATATACTTGATAAAATTTTAGTTACTTCACATAATATAAGTGAAATCTGTTTGAGTTAAATTAGTTTAGTTCGGGATGTTAGTTTGAGCCGAAGTGTCATGTCTGCTCTGGCGCCATCAGACAATATTTCCGGGTTGATATCTCTTTACATCTACACAATAAGACCTTCAAGTGGCCACAGAGGGAGGACACGATATTCACGTTAGTTCAGGGTTGTTGCTTTTGTATCAATATCGAGCGTTAATGTTAAATATCCACTCTTCTTTAGATAAATATAACATTGGTTCAAGCAGAGGGAATAACAAGCGTGTACTAGGGATTACAGTATAATTTTGTAATAATAGTTGATATTATGTCACCTCTATCTGGCTTACAACACATTGACTCCAGATATGATTTTGTAATATTATTTGGCCTATAGTTCGTTTATCGCTGTTTTATTGCTTCCTCATCTTTATTGTCCTGTTTCATCATTATTGTTTATCTTACATTTTCTCACAGCTTTATTCTCTTTCATCTTTACATTATATTACATTTTCTTAACATTCGTCACTATTGATTCAGGACACGGGTTACAGGTGACTCTCTTCTGGCGTAATAATAACACTGTTCTTCATTGTATTATATAACTGTGTGTAGGTTAAACATATCAAACACTGACAGGTGGGGGGGGGGTGTGTTATGTTGTGTACAAATACGGTAGATCATATGAGGAATGACTGTCTCTCGTGTGTATGGCAAATGTTTATGTCATGTCTCTCTCATGTCTTTGTCTCAATTCTCTCTATTGATATATTTAGTCCATATTTTTCTCCTCGTGTGTGTGTGTGTGTGTGTGTGTGTGTGTGTGTGTGTGTGTGTGTGTGTGTGTGTTATTTGTGATGTTTTTCTTATATCATAGAACACTATAAAGTTATATCATAAACACTGTACGTTCAAAAGTATAGTTATGTACATACCATATTAATAAAATAAATAACAACATAAACGGGGTTAAAAAAAATCATCATTAATAATTAGTTTGTTCACAAATCACAAAAAAAAACCAAATGTGTCCGCGAACTCGTAAGAAAAAGGCCGCCATGACACTAACCAGGAGTGACGTCACATGTAAACAAAACGCCCGTCATCTTGGGACTCACTCTTACTAAGCCCTCACTTGTGTCCCAATGTTTTGTTTTTTTGTATTTACACATCTCTCAGCTTAATACTGCCAGGACTAACTAAGAGAAATTAATCAAATAAGTTTTTTCAAGGAAGTTATAAGTTACTAATGGCCGATAATACGCCCAGTAGTCGTAAGAAGAAGAATTATTGAGTTTTTGTAAACTTAAATATCCATACTAAGCTTCCATTTGTGTATATGAGCGAGTGTGGTGGACAGACTGACTGTGTTAAGACTCTGATCATCACCTAACTCATATAACTTTACTAACTCTTGTAATAATACACTTTCTATAAAACGTATATTAATATTAAAAATAAAAACCATCATACGAGTGAAATTCTACCTTTAAAAACAATTATGACAATGTGTTTCATATGTCAATTATTATTATTTTTTACTTAGTAGTTAACCCATGACTTAGGTAAAAGAATAATGTAAATAATTTTTGTTTCTTGCCAACTTTGTCAGTGTTGGTGAGGTGTGTTGGTGAGGGTGAGGTGTGTTGCTGAGGGTAAAGTGTGTTGGTTAGGTGTGTTGGTGCGGGTGAGGTGTGAGGGTGAAGTGTGTTGGTGAGGGTGACATGTGAGGGTGAGGTGTGTTGGTGAGGGTGAGGTGTGTTGGTGAAGGGTGAGGTGTGTTGGTGAAGATAAGGCATGAGGCTGAAGTGTGTTGGTGAAGATAAGGCGTGAGGGTGAGGTGTGTTGGTGAAGTGTGTTGGTGAGGTGTGTTTTATGTTGAAGATGTTGTATTTATATGTTGTAAGTATAAACAGCAAGATTCCCTTAGAGTGAGGCAGAAAATGTGTCGCAAGGTGTATTAGAACACAGCCGAGGCAAACAATGTATCACACTGAGTATACGACAGCCGAGGCAGATGTGTCACACAGTGTATCTGACACTAATGAGTTAAAACCTGTGTCATACCAGTACATCAGACACAGCCACAGTACAGGAGTAGTTTATGACACATCTCCATGAAACAAACTCTGTGGCAAATATTACAGCAAGAAAATAAACCTAACCTAACCAAAAGAGGGAAGACGACATATGATAACTCCAAATGATCTTATTTTATTGAGGATGATGATTATGATGATGATGGTGATGATGATGATGATGATGATGATGGTGATGATGATGATGATGATGATGATGGTGATGATGATGATGATGATTGTGAACCAAACCTGTAAATAGTGTAATGAATAATGAAGGGTTCCACTGTACATTTACACACTTAACAAAATAAAGGAGACAACATTATAGAAAGGGAATCATTTTTAGTTTTCTTTAACCTTTTATCTTCATGCTGACGATCAATTAGCGAGCTGACAACCCTGACAACCCTGACATCCCTGACATCATTATTGTTCATTAAGATGACCTCCACATTATTACATTTGTGTGACTGTTGGGAGTGTTGGCAGCAAGGGTGAATGTTGTTAATGTTGGCAGTTGATGTAAACACACAGTCTACCAATAGTTGTGTTTGCTTACTTAAATAATATAAACAAATATATAAGCAAACTTCAAACTGCCTATAAAAATCTTAATACACTAAAGAAAATATAAAAACAATTATATAAATCTACAAATTAGTTTACACGAGTCGATATATAAATTAACACCAAATAGAACACTGAAGAAATACAATACCCAGAAATTACCATAGTTTCCCCCTTTATAGAAAACGAGAAGAAGAGGAGTGAAGGGGGTAACAACGGTAAACATAATATAGAATACAATATCACTCATACTACAACATTATGAGGTATTGACAGTGTGTTCATGGAGTCATTTATCAGTGTGTATGTCCCAGGAATACAACACCCTCAGAATAAACTGTTTATTGCCAGTGTTTCCCTTTACTTAGATTGAAAAAAAAAATAGAAAAATCCAAGAAAAAGCTGGAAATATGAAAAAAGGAAAAAACTCAGGAAAAAAGAAAGAAAATGAAATAAAGGGATGAAAAAATGCCCGAAGATGTGATAAACGGAAGGTAAAGAAAATATACGAAATAAGAGCAAAAATTAAGAATTGAAGAAAGTATAAACACAGTATAAGCACCTGAGATAGATACTAATTAACAGAAGCTATCATCAACTTCCTTCACCCACAAACAGCTAAGTTATTATGTAAGCAAAAACAATAGTGAGATATCTTTGTGACCTACAGTATATAAAAACACATTTCTATACAAATATCTATACTTACATAAAAATCTCCCAATAATATTTTCCAACATAAATATCTTCCTATATAAACAATCTCCTATATAAACATTTTCTTATATAAACATTCGCCTATATAAACATTCTCTAATATAAACATTCTCTAATATAAACATTCTCTAATATAAACATTCTCTAATATAAACATTCTCTAATCTAAACATTCTCTAATATAAACATTCTCTAATATAAACATTCTCTAATATAAACATTCTCTAATATAAACATTCTCTAATATAAACATTCTCTAATATAAACATTCTCTAATATAAACATTTTCCCATATAACAAACAACTAGGAAGACAAACAGGCAAACAAAATAAACATTCAACCAACATCCGCCCAGAGAAGCCAGGCACACACCCCTACTCACCTGTGTTGATGCAGTGTACGCAATAGTGAGTCGTCAGGTGTGTGTTGTGAGTATAGGTCAGGTGTGTCTATCGTGTCAGGTATAATTACAGGTAAGTGAGTGGTCCATAACCTTAAATAGACGTTAAAATATAGACTCAACCGAACCGAAACGAAACGAACCGAAACGAACCGAACCGAACCGAAACGAACCGAACCGAACCGAACCGAACCGAACCGAACCGAAACGAACCGAACCTAAGCCTAACCATCAAGAAATTCCACCAAAAAATAAAATAAAAAATAAAATAAAAATAAATAAATTAATAAAATAAAATATGTAGTTCTAATAAATTTCTACATAATATCAAGTTAACTACAGAGAACAAAAACTTTAAATAATATTATACCTTAAGTCACCTGCTTTAAGACATAGACGCGTGATAAATAAAAGTCAAATTATACATAAATTGAAGTTTTCTACAATTATTAGCCGTAATTATAGGCCGGGGATTATAAACTACTCTCAGCTCTGTAATGATCACTGTGGTCTAGTAAAGTTAATGTAATAATAGAGTTGAATTATCGTAAACTATTGATGTAAGGTTAATGGTTGTTGTTGTTGTGGTGGTGGTGTGTGTGTGTGTGTGTGTGTGTGTGTGTGTGTGTGTGTGTGTGTGTGTGTGTGTGTGTGTGTGTGTTGCTTCATATACCTATAAAACGTCTCGTTATGTCACGTTATCATTCTAACATAAAAGGTAAAAAAAAATTATCTATCTATCTAATTATCTATCTATCTATCTATCTATCGATCTATCTATCTATCTATCTATCTATCTATCTATCTATCTATCGATCTATCTATCTATCTATCTATAGAGTTAATAGAGGTATACAGACTCGTATAATAAGAGACAACATTATATTACCGTTTAATTGCCTCATAATGAAGTATGTAATATATGCAAATTTCCATCACAGTTGTACCTGCTAATTGGTGTGTGTGTGTGTGTGTGTGTGTGTGTGTGTGTGTGTTCATAACCTAACCAACCTATACAAACAAGTGTACCTGGACAACACAGGTTTACAAACAATGTACCTGGACAAAACACAAATGAAAACAGTTGTAGAAAATAGTAAACACAATTCACTCGTGATTTATGGCTGGTACAAGTGGCAAAGACGATGGCTTAAAGACGCAGACCAGGAGTTGTTGAACGTGGAGCTCCATTTACGTGGCCCATTAGTGGCGTTGTAGTGGTGTAAAAGGTGCGAAAGTCTCTCTTTGATCCTGATGTATCACTCAGATTCCATTACGGGTGCGAGAGTGAGTGTGAGAGAGAGAGTGTTGGATTGTGAGAAATGGTGAAACATGAAAGAGTGGTTCGCTGAAGAAGAGAGAGAGAGAGAGAGAGAGAGAGAGAGAGAAAGAAAAAGAGCGAGAGAGAGAGACAGACTGTAATGAAGAGGTCAAACTGAAGATCAAAGGTGAAAGTTCTATATTAACAAAGTTGGGAAGTAAATAGTTCCTACTGAGGCAAGGTACATCTTCACACACACACACACACACACACACACACACACACACACACACACACACAGATAATTGGCTTTCACTATTGGAAAGCATTTGACCAAAAGACCAAATGAATAATACACTCAGAACCTTTTCTAAACCTAGCTGTGAGACGCTTAAAGTCACACAGGAATGAATATATAAAAGATGAGTGTGTGTAGAAGGCCCTCAACAGCAGCAGCAGGGAGTCGACAATGTTTTCTAATTTACCTCCAACTTTTCGTCTCCAAATACCCAAGTTTTAATTCCACCTGAGAACTTAAACTTAGAGGAACTTAAACCTCAATATAGGAACTTTTTTTTTTATATAGTTGTGATGTCATTTTGTTTATATATGTACAGTATGTGTTTAGATGAGTGAGTCTTGGGGTTACCTGAGGAGAATTGTGTTTACAGGTAAGGGGCTAAATGCAGGTGTTTTATTAGGAGGGAATACCTGTGTGTGTGTGTGTGTTTATCTGTTTATTGTTGCTGTTTGTCTTGAAGTATAGGATATTGTTTTCGTTTTCTCTGTATGTCTGTCTGTCTCTTGTATTTCTTTCTCTGTCTGTCTGTCTGTCTGTCTGTCTGTCTGTCTGCATAATATTTCGTGAGCCATAAAGTAAGATAGATGAGTAATATTTTCATGAGCCATAAAGTAAGATAGATGAGTAATATTTTCATGAGCCATAAAGTAAGATAGACGAGTAATATTTTCATGAGCTATAAAGTAAGATAGATGAGTTATATTTTCATGAGCTATAAAGTAAGATAGATGAGTTATATTTTCATGAGCCATAAAGTAAGATAGATGAGTTATATTTTCATGAGCCATAAAGTAAGATAGATGAGTTATATTTTCATGAGCCATAAAGTAAGATAGATGAGTAATATTTTCATGAGCCATAAAGTAAGATAGACGAGTAATATTTTCATGAGCTATAAAGTAAGATAGATGAGTAATATTTTCATGAGCCATAAAGTAAGATAGATGAGTAATATTTTCATGAGCCATAAAGTAAGATAGATGAGTTATATTTTCATGAGCCATAAAGTAAGATAGATGAGTAATATTTTCGTGAGTTATAAAGAGATATAAGTGAGTATATAACCCCCAACTAGTATCACTATATACAAGCCTTGTTTATGTATCAACACCAATATATTTTATATACCGTTGTCTCCTGGGTGTTGTTAGGATAAATAATGTAATGTAATTAACTTTTGGGCCATAAATGAAAATGTAATTGACCATAAAACTGTGGGATGTGTTAAGCAGTGCCTGACGCCATGACTGATGTTGATGATACCTGGCTGACTGACTGACTGACTGACTGACTGACTGGATAATATACTTGGCTAACTGACTCGCTAACTGACTGCTGATGC